CAGAGGAATCATGGGATGACATTAAGAGCATCTTACATGTAAACAGCAAATGGTCATTAAACAGACAGGAGAGAAAAGACCAAAATGGACTTCAGATCTTTTAGACTCCGAAACTTGCTCTTGAACATAGAGACGCTAACACAACTGGAAGAAATGAGACAGTAAAAAAGAGTTGAACAGAAAATTTCAAAAGGCAGCTTAGAAGAAAAAGTCAAGTACTACAATAGAACATGCAAAGACCTGGAATTAGAAAACCAAAAGGGAAGAACATGGTCAATATTTCACAAGCCTTGGGTTGCAATATTGAAGGATTCTATGGGCAAATATTGAATGATGTTAAAGAAGATAGAAGGAATATATATAGTCACTGTTGTTAAGTGCCGTAGGGTTGGTTCCAACTCATACTGACCCTGTATATCGTTTCTGAGGAGCAGCTGATGAGTTTGAACTACCAGTCTTTCCGTTCAAACCAACCTTATATTTGAGTACTTATCCTACAGCACCACACCAGGAGTCCATAGTCACTGTACCTAAAAGAACTGGTCGATGTCCTACCATTTCAAAGATAGCAGATGATCAGAACCAATGGTGATGAAGGAAGAATTCCAAGCTGCATTGAAGGCATTGGCAAAAAACATGTTCCAGGAATTGTTGGACTACAAATTGAAATGTTTCAACAAACTGATGAAATACTGGAGGCACTCACTCATCTATGACAAGAAATTTAGAAGGAAGCTACCTGACTAAGCAGTTGGAGTTTGTGTCAATTCCAAAGAAAAAAATGACCCAATGGAATACAAAAATCGTTTAAAAAAATCATTGATATCACATGCAAGAAAATTTTGCTTAAACTAATTAAAAAATGGTTGTAACAGTACATCAACAGAGAGTTGAAAAAGACGTGGAATTAGGCATATCATTGTTAACATCAGATGGATCTTGGCTGAAAGCAGAGAATACCAGAAAGATGTTTGTTGTTGTTAAGTGCCGTTGAGTCAGTTTTGACCCATAACAACCCTGTACAGGGTTTCCGAGGGTGTAAATCTTTACAGGAGTAGAAAGCCTCATCTTTTTCCCACGGAGCGGCTGGTAGTTTCGAACCACTGACCTTAAGGTTCACAGCCCAATTCGTAACCACTACGCTACCAGAGTGTTTACTAGTGCTTTATTTACTATTGCAAAGGCATTCAACTGTGTGGATCATAACAAACTGTAAGGAATTGGAATGCCAGAATACTTAATTGTGCTCATAATGAACCTGTACTAAGGACCAAGAGGCAGTTGTTAGAACATTCTGAATGATTTAAAAACAGGAAAGGTATGCAACAGGGTTGTATACTTTCACCGTACTTATTCAATCTGTACGCTGAGCAAATATTCCGAGAAGCTGAATTATATGAAGAAGAATGTGGCACTAGAAATGGAGGAAGACTCATCAACAATCTGCTTGCTATATGCAGATGAAAGGAGCCCTGGTGGTGTGTTATGCATTGGGCTGCTGTCAGCAATTCAAATCCACCAACCTATTCAAAGGAAAAAGAGGAGGCTTTCTGCCCCATTGAAGATTTACAATCTCTAAAGATTTACAACCTCGGAAATTCTACATGGGGTTGCTATGACTTGGAATTGACTCAATGGCAGTGGTTGGTTGGTTGGTTATGCATATGATACAACCTTGTGCTTGCTGGAAGTGAAGAGGACTTGAAATAATTAGTATAATACATTTAAAGAGCACATTATGAACTTGTGAATAAACTAACCATATATGCCCAGATTCCACCAAGAGGGGAAAGTATACACAATAACTTTGTTCCACAATTCCCTTATTGAATTGAGGCAGGTGATTTAAGAACAGATTATGAGATACAGCTGGGAAAGATCTTGCTTTCTCTTCCAGGAACGAGTTGTGTCATGGATGCTTGTAAATTTTCTAGAATTACTTGTTGTTGGGCAAGTTGAGTCTGAAGCTGGAGATTGGCATGCATACATTCTAGATGTCCTTTGCATTCCTTGGGCCTGTGGTTAACTCCTGAAGGAAAAATAATGGAGGGGGCAAGAGGGACAAAGGAGAGAGATTTTATCATTGTACTAAGATTGGGAGGGCTTAAATGAGATGATTCCTATAATCTGTCCAGGCACAACCCAACCCAGGCATACCTTTGTTGAAATGCCTCCTTCTCGGTGAGGCCTACCTGGCCATCCTATTTAAAACGAATCACTGGAACACATTACTCCTCTACTTCGCTTTATTTTCCCTATACTGGTTATGACCATATGGAATATTTTATAATTACTTATTTAATTATTGTCTAAGTCATCTTTCTGGGAATGAGATGACTCCATACAATAAGCACTCAACTGTGAACCACAAGGTCTGTGATTCAAGTCCACTAGTCACTTCATGGGAGAAAGATGAGGTTTTCTGCTCCCATGAAGATTTTAAAAGCCTCAAAAACCCTATACAGGATCTCTGTGAGTCAGAATCAATTTGAAGACACTTACCAATAACAACAAAGTCACCTTTCTAGAACATAAGTTCCAGAAAGGCAGAGTTGGTTTTTTTTTTTAATGTTTTATTGTGAATTATGTGATAGTTTACATTCATCCTGTTGTATATAGTTTCATTGCCATGGTTACAATCCCCTCCATGC